TAACAAGAACAAAACCAAAATCACAGGCCAATTTCACTTATGAACACAGTGCAAAAATCCTAAACAAAATGTTAGCAAACTGAAAACCAACAGCATGTACAAATTACCGGAATTAAGTGAATTTGGAAAGGTTGCTGAATACAAAGAACCAATTCTGTAGACTAGCAAGTAACAGAAAAAGAAATACTTAAAATAGCATCAAAAAATCAAATATCTAGAGATACTAATGAAATCAGTGCTATTTCTACACAGAAAACTAAAAAATACATTGAGAAAAATGTTTTAAAAGACCTAATAGTCCCGCCCACCCACAAGGGTATGTTCAAAGACCCACAATGAATGCCTGAAACTGCGGGTAGTAGCAAACCTGCCTGGAGTGTACGTTCCGTGCTGTTCTCCACTCTGCTAACCGAGACGGCTGCTGGATACACAGCTGGCTATGCCGGACAAAGGGATGATTCAGGTCCCAGGCGGGACAGAGGACAACAAGAGATTTCATCAGGCTACTCAACTTAAGAATTATTTCTGGAATTTTCCATTTAATATTTTTGGGCCACTGTTGACTTCAGGTAACTGAAACCTTGGAAAGCAAAACCATGATAAGGGAAGACTACTGTAAGAAAGAGACTTCACCATGTTTATTGGAAAACTCTGCATTGTAAAGATGTTAATTATCCCTATATTAATCCATAGAATTAATCACAATCAAATTCCCAACCTGTGTGTGTGAAAATTGACAAGTTAATTCTAAAACTCGTTCTAAAGACATATGATTTAAAATGGTCAAGACACTTGAAGACAGTGGGAGGACTTGGCCCGCCAATGTCAAGACTTCACATCAAGCTCCATAATGAAGTGTCACAAGGACAGACAGACTTCTGGAATCGGTTCCAGGCAGATCTAAATACGAATAAGCCAATAAAGCTTCTAGATCTAGAAGACAGTTAAGACTACCTTCATGATCTGGGAGCGGGGAAATTTTTCTTAAGCCATGAAAAGCACTATTCACAAAGGAAAAGGTAAGTTTGACTACACCGAAGTTGAGAAGTCGTTTTCAGCAGATGACACCATGAAGAGTGAAAGGGGAAGTTACACGGTGAGAAGGACGCTTGCGACGCTGCACTTAACACAGGACTCACATGCGGACGCACAAAGAACTCCTCTAACTCGACCAGGAGAAGACGACCCGGCATCACACAAGGGCGCGAGACTCGGACAGACGCATCCTAAAGAGGCGCCCAGACAGCTGGCGGA